AGACATAGACAGACACTCTTATTCCATGACATTAAAGAGCAGGGCTATTTAATGATGATACCCAGTTTAATATTCAAATGATAAAGAATGCATGACTATAAAAATGAGTACATTTGAAGAAAGAAAAAATTACTGTGAGAGGAAACATTTTTGAAACAATGGAGCTAGGAGTGTAAGCGTGATTTCCTAATCACCTGGATAGTCTTTTCCAAAGACCTATAGAGTGTCTGCTAAGCATCAAGCACTGTATCTGCCGCAACCTGGGCAAGGATGTGTGCAACACAAGCCTCTCACCCCGGTGGGGGCTCAAAGAGCATGAAGTCAAACACTGCAGTGTCATGTGCAGATTCTTCCAGTAGGGATTGAAATTGCAGGGATCAGAGTCCTGTCTTCTGAGGTTCTGAGCACAAGTTGAAAAGACAGTGAAGAATTATGGAAGCACATTGGAAAATACAAGAGGTATCTACCAAGAATGGCACTCCAGGCACAAAATCAGCACCTGTGTAATGGGCAGGAAGGAGGGACTACATAAGCATTTGGCATTCTGCAGGTCACTCCACATGGCAAAGCAGAGGGCCAGACAAGAGACAAGGCTGGTAAGGCAGAAAAGGATCAGTTTGAAGTGTCTTGTCCCCAGCTGATGAGTTGAAACATTTTCTTCAAAGGCCACACACTTCAAGCAATTCCCAACTTCATTAATTGCATGACAGCTGTGCTATCTTCTTTCAGTTCTCCAAGCTGACCCAGACTGAGCAAGAAAGGAGAAATTAGTGAGAACTGAGCAAGCCAGGTAACATTAATCTCGGGTGCATTGTAGAGGAAAAGAGAGCTTCAGAAAGGATAGTGTCTGACACTACGAGGGAAAATATGTCCATTCATAGGTTGCCAGACATTCACAATATGCTTAATATTATCATAAAACTACTAGAGCGAACTAAATATCTAGTCACTTCTTTTACTAAGTAGCTCACTCCAAACAGCTAGACCCTGTAACCTATTCTCTCTCTCTCTCTCTCTCTCTCTCTCTCTCTCTCTCTCTCTCTCTC